GGGAGCACGTACTGAGTGTCTTCACCCTCCCTGGCAGGGAGGCGGAGCCAGGGCCGCGTTTGATAAGCGCGGGCGCCCTGCTCAAGGCAACCCACCGCCATGTCCCTCCCTCGCGCGCCGACAATCAGCCCGGCACCGCCGCCCTCCACCCAATGCTCAGCCGCGGCGACGTTGTCGGCTTCATTGAAACGGCCCTCGACGCAGCAAGGCTGACGACGGATGAGGCTGAGGCCATTGTCAAGCACCTGCGAGCCTCCGCCGGGCGCGCCGAGGCCGCCTGGGCCGCCATCGCTAAGTGCCTATACCGCACGGCGGGAGAGGGGCCGGGGGCGCGTGCACGCCCGGGGTGGGCCCACGATCTGCGATTCTACGGCGAGTGGTGGCTTACGCTTCGGCCCTCAGATGCTGTCGAATCACGGCGGGCCCGCTACCTTCTGCAGGCCGGCGAGGGTGGGGTCTACGCGTCTCTACTCCCGCAGGCCGCACGGCAAGGGGAGCAGGCGAAGGATGAGCTCATTAGCGACCTCGCGCTGCGCCTACACGGCCCTCTCTACCACCTTACTCTCTTGCACTTGGACTGCTTTGACATGAACCCCGGCCGGATGTTGGTCTTCCTCTTTAATGGGATTCTGCCGCTCAAAAGGAACATTTGCGAGGCCGCTAAGTTGACTACAAGGGAAGAAGGTGAGGTGGAATCCCTCCCGGACGGCTCTGGAAAAAAGACTAGTGACCCAGAGGCATTGCTAGGGACGCTTTCATTTTCGAATTGTAATATCGGGACAGCGTCGTTGATGGTAATTCTGCTTGCACTCGCTGAGGATGGCGAGACGGCCCGAACGACCGCCTTGGATCTCTCCTGCAATTGTCTTACAAATAACTCGCTGGAGTGTTTTACCGCGCTACTCAAGCAAACGAAGGTCAAAAAGCTCGATCTTCGCCACAACTACCTGTACGCGCCGTGGGGTACGGAATTACTGAGCTTTTTAGAGGAAGGATGTTCTGAGTTAACGGAGCTGAGCTTATGCTCAACGGGGCTCTCGCATGCGCAAATCCGTTTGCTCTTGCACGCGCTTCCGGGGATGCCCAATCTACGCGTATTGTTGTTGAACCATCTCGATATCCCGCTTGAAATGGCGTTGGAGGTTCACTCTGCGGTTCAAAAATCTAGGCTTCAGTACCTCTCTCTCGTAGGATGTGCGGTGAATAATCATCCAACCCTTATGCAGAAGCTGGTAGCCTGCTGCGCGAAGAATCGACAAGCGGAGGGGGTTGGGATGGATTTCTCGCCGAATGCTTCGTTTTTTGAAGAACACTTGAAAAGAATGGAAGCAAAGGGGTGGACACCGCTATTGCATAGGTCTTCTTTGAGTATCGACTTTGAACCATACACCAATAATGACCCTTCACTTTTTTCTGTCTTTCACAGCATTAATTAAGTGAAAATGTATAGCTCTTCTTTGCTGTTGTTGTTTATTTATTTTTTCCCCTTATTTAATATATGTTGATGTGGTTGACACTTATCTCTGATTACAACGTATTAATAAAATAAAGGTGTTAATTACCTGTAGTACGAATTCCAATCAAAACCAAACCATTTTCATCACGCTAATATACAATAAATATATAGAGATACATTATGTATAGAATCGCGAGAGCTTTGCTAATAAGTGCTTTGTTTCAATCTTGAAAAACAAGATAGAATGAAGGGAATGAAATTGATAAACAAAAAAAATCATCGTTTTATTAAATCCTTTTTAGCTTATGAGAGCCATTTTTGGTCTTTAAAATAGTATAAGCTTAGTTGTAGATTTTCCCATACATCTCTATCAATGATGTTTCGTCGTTCGTTAGCTGTGTTTTACTCGAATACAAATCTAGGAGATCCTGGAAAGTTAATGAACTCCCAACAAAAGGTTCTTGATATCAATTCTCCGCTATCTTTGCTGCGAATGTGCTATCGAAGTATTGATATTTGCGTAAAATCACGTCATGCACGTAATTTTTTCAAAAAACGCCTTATCGATCAGTGGGCAGAGAAGAGTAAGGAAACAAATCCAGAGAAGATACGTTTTTACATGGATTTAGCGGGTTCTTTCCTGCAAGCCTTGCACACCGATCGCACTCCAAAGCCGGGGATGGTCGTTAAATTTAACCTTTCTCGTCGGATTGCACATGAAAAGAAAATGGAGGAAAGGGCCATTAGTAATGTTAAACGCGTTAGGAAGGTCCAAAAGGAGGGGGAATAGTGTATCAATGAAAAGTACTCCAGAGGGGAAAGATGATCAAATCCTCTGTCGCCATTTTACCACTTCGTATTTGGAGGCATAGAGGTATGGAGTGGGAAAAGAACACAAAAATGACGAAAAATCTTCATCTGATGATAGACATGGTATGGGAAGAAGAAGCCTTCAACTTTCCGTTTAATATTTACGCAATGAATCGGTTTATGTTTTTCCCTCTTCAAAGAAATTGAAGAATCCATTTTTTGCTGATTATTTCGCACAATATTATCGTAGTAATTTATCATAATCATGGATGCAAAAGGTAATAATATCAACCACAAAATTATCTATCCCCGTTGTTTAAACTCCTCTGGTTGTATAGCGGTCCTTCCCGCTAGCAGCTCCCACAGTGCGTATATTGCTCACTGCAGAATCTTCTCGGGCTCGCAAAAAACGAGGAAAACTCCACAACAAACGACTTTTGGTAATAAAGGAGCGAGCATTAGCAGTGCTAATCGTTATGTTGACAACTTTGAAGCCACGCAACCATTGAATTCTGCAAAAAAAGAAAGGAGGCTTCCCGGTCGTAGCTATTTTTCTCTTTGCATCTACCGTGTTTCATGTCCTGTGGATGACTCGAATGAAGAGCCTCTCTTGTTCTTTGAGGTGAGAGAAATCCCTCTTTTCTTCGAAAATTCCTCATCAGAACCAAAAGTGGAAAAGGAAAATACGGAAAGCAGCGACCAAGCAAAGGATCTTTCCCAGCTTCTTGCCATCGATACCCTTCAGTGGGCGGGTTTGGGGTTACTCGTCGTCCTGAGCGCCGACAAAGGGGAGGTGCTCCTCGTGCAAACCTCACTTGTGGAAAACAACCAGAAAGCAGAAGGGCTGCCAATACACCGAAATTATAACAATAATTATGAAGATTTCTGTTGTTTCGACGAAGCTTTCACCGCTGTGGTGCTGCGGGATGTTAGGGTAAAGACAATATCGACAATTGGAGTGCGGTGGTGTTTGGTGGATTCCTGTTTCAGTAGTGTGGTAGCTCTTGTATATCACTCTTCCGTGCGGTTGATAAATATCGAATCACCTTCTTCGTTGACGTTCGGTAACTTGCAAAAAGGGAAACTGACAATTGAGCACAGCCTCTCAAAAAAGTTTACGTCGATTAGCGCTAATGCAATGCCCTATCTATTGGAGAATGAATTCCAACGAGAAGGAATTTTACTTTGTGGTTGTGCACATACTTGCTGCGTGAGTATCTATATCTGGTTAAACCCTAAGAAAGAACCTGAACTTCTTCGCGAGGTGATGGTGGGCGAGGGGGTGAGTTTTTTTTGCACCACCACGTTTATTCAAACTGAGAAAACATCCGCTAATATTCTAAATTTAGCTCAGAATGACGGAGTTTACTTCGCTATAGCAGGCTCATCGCGCAGCCGCCAAGAGGAAGTGCGTAGTGAAGCATCTGAACGTGTTGTTTTGGAGTCCTCTTCGGATCCTTCCCCCTCGCCTTTCCTTCTTTCCACGGGAATCTTCCAAGGAACTGGCGGCATCCTTGCCGAAATTGAGGAAAACGTTACGAAGAGTCTTTTCATGCAAACCACACGTGAGCCACTTAACATGATTTACAATTCCCTTCAAAAGAAAAGCCTGGACAATGGAGAGGATAGTGAGGGATCCCCGCTAGAGAACCTCGCCCCTGCCTTCTCCGTCACGGCCCCGAGCTTATCTTCTCCTGATTCGGACTCATTTATCTTCCTAGTATTTATTCAACAGGGTGAATACTTTCACGGAATTAAATTAAATGAACTTCCCTCTAATGCATTGAAAATTGCTACGAAACAATACGCGCTCGACGCCGCGCCGCTCAAAGAAGAGCTTGGAAAACTAGGCAGCTCCATACGCATACTTCCTTATATGCAAGAGATAATTCATCCTCACCATGAGAAATCCTATCTTTCAGTGGGGTTTTACAGCAATAATGGGGTTGTGTGGCTTAATTTATCGCATCCAAACGCAAAGGTAAAGAATTCCCTTCCAAATTTACCTTCGGTTGATTTAGTAGGGAAATATCTAGTCCAGGAAGACGATTCGAATGACTTTATCGTTGGAGTGGATTGGCGTAGCGCCACGATTACAGGTTTAGAGCAAAATCACTTTCCGGAGTTATTTTTGCTAACCCTTCGAGGAAGCTGTAAAAAAGCAAACCATGAAAAAAAGGAAAAAAAAGGCAATAAGACCCCATCGGAAGAATGCACGTTTGCACTACGACCTTCTAATACAGTATGGTCCGGCGATGGTCTAGAAATCCTAACGTTATCTTTGAATCAACACATAAAAAAAAAAAAGGAAAGTAAGGGCGAAACCATTATTACAGTCAACCTCGAGGAACTCAGCACTTTGATTCATAATATAGTTCACAAAGAATCGCAGGCAATCTTAACACGCTTGGAAAATCGCTTGGATCGTCTTGAACGTTATTTAATTTCTACTAACCTGTCTGCCAATGACTCAAAATGAAGGAAAGAAAAGGTGGTGAGGTTGCAAGGCCAGTGCCTTAAACACATCTTATCAAGTTTCTATTTGTGTTTGCTTTTTTTATTATTACTCTTTAATCTATGTTCTCGTACGAGTGAGGATTATCGAAAAAAATGAGTAAGCAATATGTTTATTATTTATTATAATCCTTTCTTTTTTCGTTTGTTTTTCCTTTTACAAACAACTTTCCGTTTTATCTTTCCTTTTCTTTTCTATCCACCCTATTGTCGTTCAGCATCCATTCTTTAATGGAGCAAAAGAAGCTTATCGAAGCGAAGATGCTTGTTTTACAGGCCTGCACGCTTCTTAGGAGCTACTCCGGCTTTACCGAAGCACCACCCGCCTCTCTAGAGGAGATCCAAACGTGTTTGCTAAAGTTGCTGCCCTGCCTTTCCATTCTGAACTCCTTTGATTCCGTATCAACCTCATTGAGCTCCGAAAAGCGCGCGCGGGGGATTCTTGAGCTGAAGCTCCGTACCGGAATCTACCGCATCCTTGGCGTTGCGCTCGCGCGGATTGTCGAGTACAACGGCCCCTCCCACTCGCCACGTCACGCGACGGAAGAGGCTCCCCTGGAGGGACATCCCACCCCATCCAGTGGCGCCGAGGGCAATCCCTGCCAGGCCCGTGGCCCCGTGTCAGGGCCAACTACGGCCACCCCTAGCGGAACCACCGAGGAGGGGGGGGAGGTCCCGCCGGCCCATCACAGCCCCCCCCTTTGTTACAGCGGCGCGGACCCCCCTTTGGCTCCGGCAAGTCCCCCCTCAGCCCCACAGACGACCTGCGCCTGGACGGATATCTGCGGCTGCGAGGAGGCGATTCTCGCGCTGAGACAGGCCACACTGCTGCCGAGACGCTTCCCGGGGCTCTTTATGGGGCCCCGCCGGGCCTGGCGGCGGGTGCTGCTCTATGGCCCGCCAGGGACGGGCAAGACGCTGCTCGCTAACACCACCGCCCAGGAGGTGAATGCCCCCTTAATCTGCATATCCCCCGCGGATTTGCTAAGCCGATGGGTCGGGGAAAGCGAAAAGCAGGTTCGTGCGGTCTTCGCGCGCGCGGCGAGCCGAGAGCGGTGTGTGCTCTTCTTCGATGAGGTGGACGCATTAGGGGGGATACGCGGCGGGGTGGGTGAGACCGAACTCGCGCGGCGCCTTAAAACGGAGCTGCTTTTACAGCTTCAGGGGCTCCCGCCGTCGGTGGTGCTGCTAGCGGCGACTAACCTCCCCTGGGAAGTAGATTCCGCGATTTTACGTCGCTTTGACCGCCTCATTTACGTAGGACTTCCGCCACGAGAGGTTCGACGGCGGGTTCTCTTCCGCCAGCTCGATGGCATTCATCATAACCTCACTTTTGTGGAGGTAGAAGAGGTGCTCGACCAGACGGCGGGCTACTCCGTTTCCGATACAATGCACCTCCTCTCACAAGCGATGATGGGGGCCGTCGAGGATCTCGTCGACGCCGATGCCTACCGATTAGCTACCCATGAGGATATTGAGGAGTACTTCTCTGTGAAGGCCTCCCAAGCGAGGGGTTTGAATGAAAATAAAAATATTTCGAAGCACTCTAAGCGACAGCGACCGCAGCGTAGAGCTCAATCCGATGCCTGCTCGCCCACGTCTTCGTACGATTGTAGCCTCTCAACCTCCACCAGCCCTGCCGCCTTTTCCTCCTCAGCTACGGAAAGCGTTATTGAGGGCTTTACTCCCTTAAGAAGCTTAGCAAAACCAAAAACTAAAAGCAAACCCCTCCATTCCAAGGATTTTTCGATTGTTGTCTTGCCTCGTTCGCATCCTCCTCGACGAGTGCAAGCGGCGGCATACGGCTCGGTAAGGTTGTGCAAGGAGGCCTCCTCGGCTGCTCCCGAACGGCATCTCAAAAACCCAACACTCCCCCCTCCTCCCCACGGAAAAAATAAATATCGAAAAAACGACTGTAAAAAAACAATAACAACTATCACGAACGCTTCAGAAACGACAGGAAATTGTTTAATGCAAAGCCATGGATTTGATAACAGAGAAGGCGATACTCCTACGGCTCCTGCTATGTATTACATTCCTTGCAAGTCCTCTCATCCGAACGCGCTGCCTGATCTGCCGTCGTCGTTTACAATTCCACCGGAGTTCATCATTCTCCCTCCCGTACGCTTTACGGATATCCTAAAAGCAATGAAAAGTTTTATCCCAAGCGTCACCGCAGAAGATTTGAAACGATTCGAGGCCTGGCGTACGCGACATGACTCCTCAACGTTATCGTAATTTGAGGAAAATTCTGTTTTTTAAGTTAGCGTATTACAGTGACATTTACGGGGGACACGTTGGTATCTACCTATATTTTTTACACGCAATTATTGTTGTTATTTTATTTACTTATTTCTACCTTCCTTATCCCGCATATTTATAACCTTCCTGCTAATATTACGCTTTCAGAACAATAATAAAAACAAATAAACTTTGAATAGTTCGCATGGAATCAGTGCACCATATCATATTTTGAGTGGTAAATGGACATTGGATAGATGCTCAACATGAAGAACTCACTATTCATTTTTTTTCTTTTCTTTTCTTTTACTTCTTCTTAGATAAAGTTATGGACTGTGTCGCGATATTCATTATGTGTATGTTGCTTCTTTTGTAATAAATATTTCCAGGGTACTTCAGGCTTGAAGTACCTCTGTTAACTGAAAACGAGGAGTAATACGTTTGCTGAAATCTCAATGCCGTATTGTGTGGATATTATTATTTCACAAGTAATAATAAATGAAACCACTTTATTTGATTCTATAACCTGCTCAACAAGAATGCTAGTGGGTTAGTACCAGCTCTGATTTATTGAATTATACGGGTAGTCTGCAAAATTTGTGAATCTAATATAGCCTTAAATAGTGAGGTATTCAGCAAGTTCATTTCAGATGAGGATTCGATAAAGTATGACGAATAGGTTCTGAACTGCACCTTTGGTAACCTGCGAAAGATTATATTGAGTCTGAAACCCTTTTACTCACACATTTGATATTTGAAATTGAACAAAATGGCAATTTTGTTCTTGAGCAAGAGGAGCCATTAATGCACAGGGTTATTTAAGCCTTTTTTATTCATTTGACCTTCATCTTACTCAATATCAGACAAAACATAAATAGCATACGGGTGAAGAACAACTTGGGGTTCATTTAATCCATTCCATAAAATTTAGTTCATGAATAGAATATCTTTTACAAGGGAACTCAACCCATTCCCAATGATATTTCAAATCCAAAAGAGAGGAATGACCTCTATTACAAGTCCATCCCTGATGGAAACTGTGCAGCGGTCTGTTTCCACTAGTGGATGGAATCCACAGCAAAAATGCTTTCGAAACCTCATGAAATCTCTCCGTGATGCGTATTTTCACGATCGATCGAAGCTGTTTTGGGCCCGGCATCGTGTATTGGTGGAGTTCTACAAATACTCCAAAGTGGAGGATCACGCCACTATTGAATTATTAGTTGGTCTTGGAAATGAAATAGCTACCTTTGTGAGTCAGTACATGAAAATGGATGTTGAGCGCATTGTTAAACATAATCAGAAAATGTTATCCCTCCCCGTTGATAAAGCTAAACGTTATCGTGCAGATTACTACTTGCACGAGCGTCAGCACGAGTCTTGGTGCAAGCAGAAGATCAAGGCAATCATGAATCGAAGGCCTCCCCCTCCATACCCATTCTTTTAGTTATCAAGCAAGAAAGCTGTAATAGTCATTCGATTAACGACAAAAATAAGGGGTTGTGTATGAATAATTTTTCCTTCATCGAGCGCTTCTGCTCTTGAAAAGATGTCTTGTTGTTCCTCACACATCTAGTTTAAGCGTTCAACGTACGCTAAGGCTAAATTATGGGAAAGAAACATGGTTACGCACAACAAAAAGAGAGAAAAATACTTTTGATATGTATGTATGTTCTGAAATATTTCCATAAGAAAGCTTTCTTAAACACTTACTGAGTGTTCACTTTTGCAGCATCAAAAAGTCAGAGATAGGTTTGTACATATCTATACTACAAAAAAAGGGGGACATTTTAATAATGAGATTAAAAGATTCTAATAGATCGAAATTTAGCTTTTCTTAATTACTATTTCTTTATAATTACAATTATCTGCATAATGTTCAGGTAATTAAGATTATATCGCTGTCAAAGAAGGGAATCTTTCCTGATTATACCCAACAAAAGTGGTTGAATCTTAAGTTCCATCTCCGGCTCTTGTCTGATCGCCTTTGAGAAAATTCATATAATATTTTCACAAATTGAGGGAAAAAAGGCAGCTGTGTAAGTCTTATGACTTTTTGAAACTTCAATCTTAAGGTAACCATGAAATTGGTGATAATATCGCTATATTCAAACTATTTACCTTTCAAGGGAAATTTGATGGTCGATAACATCAAACACCAAAGTCTCCATTGGAAACTGCTCAAAAGTTCGTTAATTCACGCTGCGTTGCTCTCAACGCCTTCCTCCCACCTCGGAAACTCTGTGGCTGCACACCAAAGCGTGAGGACTACATCACACTGGAAAAATGACCGCAATACAAATAATATCTCAAAAACAAAATGCATACGTACATCGCAACACAATGGACAATTATCGACATTGGCCTTGATGGAAGAAAAGACAGTAGTGCCGTGTGACATCGGTAAGTAATGCATTATGCAAAGCTTCTGTATCGGAATCCCAGAGTTTTATGAAGGCGTTTGGAAATAGATTATTCATGGCTCCAGCGGAAACCCCCACGGAAAGTGAAATTTTCATCCATTGATTTTTAAACATTTACATATAATTGAGGAGTAGTGAATTGAAACAAATCCACTAACTCTATATTATAAGTGTCATTTTAGCAAATTATTGTATCATACAAAAGACCATAATATCAAAAATCTAAATAGATAACGTCTCTAGATAAAGCTGAACACAAATATTACTATCATAAGTTGAATGTTTAGAAAAAAATAAATTCATATAAAAAAAAACTATACAAGCAAGAGTAGTGAGAATGTAATAATAATATCCGTTGTATGCATGAAAGGACTGCTAAGAGAGCAATCTTATCGATTATACTGGACTAAATGAAAATCCCTTGTCTTTCCAAAAATTTTTCAACAGATATAAAATAAGTCATTATTTACAAAGCTTATAGGTTGTGTGATATTTTAATAGGCATTTTTAATTTGTGTTTATTTAAGGGTTCCACAGCTGTTCCTGAATTTATCTTAGTCCTTCTTTTCTTTTTTAGTATTTAATTCATAGCAATTGTTGAAAAAACCTTTGAATTTTTCTATTTTTAGCTAAGATACATCCTATTTTTTTTTTGTATATATTATATACATCTAAACTTAATATCAGACTTTAAAGGGAAAAATAAGTTCAACACAAAAAAAAAACTTTCATAGTACTCTCGCATTACTATCCACTTCCTTGGAATTTTTATTGCCACAGAGACATTATACTGTGAATCCTTTCCACAGTCCCAAAAAATCACAACCCATACAAACGAAAAAAAGAATACTCAACTAATATAGAATTACTTTTTTTTATAGGAATCTATTTTTTTCCTTTAAAATTTTATAGAAGAAAGGGGAAAAAATAGCATTTTGTAATATATACCCAACACTCTCAAAATAGGTAATATCCAGTTGTGTATTCGAATTGTCCTTCAAAAAAAGGAAAATATATTATTTTAAAATACAGAGGGAGAGTATCAAATCAGATATAAAACAAAAAAAGAAACTATTATTATTATTATTATTATTATCCCATACTAGTCAACATGAGCCACGAAGATGCAAAGTCAGATATCATTTTGTGTACCAAGCTCCTTCGATATCTCATGATTCCACACCTACTCGACCACACATTGAAGAAGCTGTACGAACATAACCCTATATGCGCGCGTGAGGCTATCAGCACTCTCATGAAAACCCTCTCATATAGCAGGGAATCATACTATAAACTCGTTTCCTCAGAAACCAACCATATAGTGAAGCAACTGATGACAGATGGTTTCGCGAAATGGAGAAAGGGATCTCTGCGCTTTTCCTTGCCACTGTCGAAAGGGACCATTTTTGAATTTTTTCCCAAAGGCACTCAGGTAGAGGTCAACCCGTGCAACTACGAGCACTTCATATCCCTCCACACGATTTACCTGAGTTTATCAGAGGTGTGTACCGAGACCGCGTTACAAACCATGTACATCCAGAAGGCGATCCCCCACCTCCCAGTAAGCGCCCAGTCAAACCTTCTCTGTGAGAACTATATGGTGATCGTGGAGCTGTTACAGGACCACCTGCTCAACGCGTCCTCGGTGTGGCACATCACAAGCGAAGAGGTCTGGCAAACGCTCAAGGTCTCTTATGCGGTGCCCTTTCACTCACGTCTCTTTCCTGTGCTCCCCTCGATGGCGCCCGGGGAGTTCGTCCCTTTCTCCGAGGCCCAGAACTACGCAAAGCTGGCGACTCGGACGATGGTTAAGCTTGCCCAACGCACAGCTCTCGGCAAACCCCTCGACGCCGGCTACGACGACGGGGTCTCCTCGCCCATCGTGGAGTCGCAGACCCAGACGGACACCTCATCCAACCTTCTCCAAGAAGAAGAAAATACCGAGGGATTGAGTGAAGACGAAAATAAAATTGATAGTGCGGAAAAAGAAGAAAGTTACCACCCTCCCCTCTCGCGCGCAAAGGCTGTGCCCTCGCGTCATGCCTTAAAATTGCACGCCGAGGCCCTCGCGCAGGATACCTCGCTTAGCCAGGACGAGCGGTTGTTCTGGGCATGGGTTTTCAGCCTGCAGAAGAACCCGCAGAGAGTCATACCGGGACAGATGGCCTTTACCCTGCACCTCCCTGATGGTGACCTTGCGCTTAAGACAAATGGTGAGTACATTGGCGTGACGCCAAGCAACGTCCTCGAGTTCGCCAAGCTGATCGAGCTGGCAAGGGAAAAAGTACACGCACTCTTTATGAGGCAGAAGTCAGCCCCGTTTCCCTCGGAGTTGCTGTTGGATAAATACCACCGGAATCGTTTCCCTGTCGCTAACTCGCATATGTGGAATCAATTCAGGTTGATAGAAGGGTTTGTTGAGAATACTTTTTTTGATCAAATGCGGGCACTCCGAGATCGTATCGAGGACGACAACGTCACTATTGATGAGTTGAAGAAGTACCGTTTTTATATTCCTACAAAACTCGGTATCTACGATCTTATCCCAGACGGCCGCTACATCTCTTTGAACTTTCAAAATGTAGGCGAATTCTTCACGCGTATAGAAGAAGAGTGCCGCAAGCTGTGTACTCATGAGGTTTGCGTAGGAGAGACAGTGGATGATATAATCAAGAATAGATATCCTCAGCGTCAAGGACCTCACGAGTCTAAAACTAGCGGAGGCTTGGATATTCAGATTGTGGAAAAAGCGCCTGGTGAGGGATACCAATACTGCAAAATCGAAGATTATGCAGCTGCGATATTGCCACTCTTGAAGCGTCGCGAAAGTGTCGCTACAGAGGAATGTTCACACATGGGTGTGAAGTACCCGAACCAGGTCCCCCACGTGACAGTCCCACTTGCCGCCTACGCATCCCAAATTCCAAAGACGACCATCTATACTAATTTTGCTAGCGCCGAATGGTTCTTAGATGAGCGAGATTTGCCCTTTCTGAGTGAGTTAGAGGCGCACACATTGTCTATGTTCAATGAAGACATTAATGAAATGCTGTTCGATTCACTGAATTTCAAGTGGTGCATCGTCGTTCCAAATAGACGTTGCGTAGTTCCACTGAGGAAATATGGGGATTCTATACCTGTCAATATAGATGAATTTAGGGAATACCTTCAAGACATCATTAATAAAATTCATGAGATACGTACCCAAATTGTGGATAACGGGCGTTATCCAAAATATAGAATGGAGGGTGGTTATCCAGCTTTAATAGCTGCCACTTTCGCTCCTGATCCTACTACAGATGTCACTGTCACTCCTGGTCATACTGCAGATGTCACTTTTATTCCTGTTCCTACTATAGATGACATTGTCCCTCCTGCTCCTACTACAGATGCCACTGTCACTCCTGGTCATACTGCAGATGTCACTTTTATTCCTGTTCCTACTATAGATAACATTGTCGCTCCTGCTCCTACTACAGATGTCACTGTCACTCCTGGTCATACTGCAGATGTCGCTTTTATTCCTGTTCCTACTATAGATGACATTGTCCCTCCTGCTCCTACTACAGATGCCACATTTACTCCTGGTCATGCTGCAGATACTACATTTACTCCTGGCCACTTTGCAGCTGCCACTTTCATTCCTGGTCACTTTGCAGCTGCCACTTTCACGCCTGGTCACTTTGCAGCTGCCACTTTGACTCCTGGTCACACCGCAGCTGCCACTTTCGCTACTGGTCACACCGCAGCTGCCTTTTTCGCTACTGGTCACACTGCAGCTGCCAGCTTCACTTCGGCTCACTTTGCAACTAGCACATTTACTCCTGGTCATACTGCTGCTTCCGCATTTACTCCTGGTCATACTGCAGCTGCCACTTTGACTCCTGGTCACACTGCAGCTGCCACTTTGACTCTTGGCCACACTGCAGATGCCACTTTTGTTCCTGCATCTATTGCAAATGACACTTCTACTTCTAGTTAATCTGGTACTGGCTCATCTATTAGTTCTACCCACACTAACGAAAACTAAATAAAATAGAAGTATCCCCAACTAGTCAAAAAATGACCCCTCAACTAACTCTACTGGGTCAGAAACGTACACGCGGTCAGCTTCGAGCGCCTTGGGTGAATCAGACTTGAGCTGATAGTAAATTAAAAAAAAACATCTTATCGCATATATTATATACATATTTTTTTCATATATAATAAAGTTACTCAAGGCATATAGAATGGGTATTTTATCCTCACATTTGTTACTGAAATATAACTTTCCTTTATTCTTGGCATCCTTATTTAGTGTTTTAAGAAATAAATGGGTAATATGCTATAATATACCCCTCGCGTAAGAAGCGATTCGGAAAACGAACACTAAATAGGGTTGATATAAGTAAAGATAATTCTAATATGTTCCGATTTTGGATTTTCCTTGAAAAATGGTAATGTAATAATTAATGACTATAGTTACAGTCGCTAAGAAGCTTCTGTTGCTAATGCAAAGCATTACTTCTTCTCTTCCTTGTTATACGAAAAAAATTACCACACAAAAAGGTGCTTAATTTTTTGTTTTACCGCTAGTTTAAATTTCTTTATGTGCTTAATTTTCACACCTCCTCTAGGAATTATTATTTCTCACTTTTAAAAAGGGGTAATACCTCAACGCTGTATCAACGTAAAGAGCCTTCTATACATATATGCATGCTCTCCATCAAGCAAATATTTATGTGTATACATAGATTTATATTTGTGCACTTTAATATTTTTTATTATTTCCAAGAACACATAAAACAAAATATACCTCGCTTAAGTGGTACTTTTTGCCATTCATAGTTTGTTATGCTGATTGTGTGTCTTTGGTGCAATGCCTATACTTTTTTTTTGAATGTTATTCTGTGGTTAATTTGCGTCAAGGGGCCAACAAACGATCCATCATAAAAATAAACTGAATAATTTAAAAGTGGATAGCGTTAATTGCAGTAACCTAGTGAAGGCACTTATTAGGTAACTTGAGGCTCATATAGTTCACTTTTATGGCCTGACTGCATTAGATTTTTTTTCCTTCTTATTTCCATTGTACCGAATATATCAGGATGCCTTATTGTTCGAAAACTATGCGTTCTATTTAGCCATGATATTTGAAAATTCATACCGAAATGATACGGGTAAAGGCCTCATTTTTTCAAATTTAGATTCGTCTCTCTTCACTCTTATTTGAAGGATACATTTCTTCTTATTCCATGTGTCCCTTTTTATATATAACCATTGTCTTTAATCCTGCTTGTTTCAGTATCACCTGAGGAGGTAAAACCAACTTCAGATTCTAAAATAGCAAATGCTTACTTGTTTATTTTGGATGAAAAAAAGTTTTTCACATTCTGATTTCTCCGCTGTTACATTGCTCAATAAAAAAAAGGGATAACAATAATGGGGGAGGGAGAAAGGAATCTGACTTTGTAATCCAGCCTTTTGGTCGTAGAAATTTACCTTTTTAGTAAATATATACGGCCTCCTGTTACGACACATATATGTATCATAATATTGTACTGTGCGCCTCCTCGATGTTTGATTAATAATAAAAAATTGTTAAATAATAAATGTCCTCACCATTCAAGTATTTTTTGGAAGTATAGGAGTACTCTATCTCACTTTCCCTTTTCAGATTTCATTTGTTTTTTTTTCCACGTATAGGATATACAATAAGAATTTTTAAAAAATGCAACCATCTTCATAATTTATGTTTCATCTTGAGGAAATGTAATCAGCTATGAGAAACATGAACCTACTCTAACGATGCTATATATTCAATATCTAAGCAACATATCAATTTTATTCAAGTGTTGCGATTCCTATTTATTACACATCACTTCTTCCCAAACTTACCTTCCACATACAATAAAAAAAAAGTATTAAACACATACTTATCACTTCTATAGGTGGAAAATTATTTGAATATGTGCATAGGCTTTTTTTGATGCGTCAATAATTATAAGCAGGTAACACCTGAGTTAGGGATCGTTGGAAACGGATTTCTGTATGAAGTGAAAGTGACTTATTTGTTTGTGTGTCTGTCTCTCTCCTTTTTTAACTCGATAAGGTTTCTGTTTTTCCCGTGTTTACTCTCATTAATACCCTCTTTTCCTGTATTGAATTTGGTATCTTCTATTGTTTTGCTTACCCCCTGATCTTCACTGGTTGAGTGAGAATGGCAGTTTATGGAAGGGATTCCATCGTATTTCATGAGATTCTATAGTTTTCATAGCAAAAAAAAATTTTTTTGTTGTTGAAAAGGAGCAGATCTAACAGCTGGATATTGCGCTGCTGCCCTAATAAACGATCCCTTCGATCAAGACGACAAGAGCGAATACAGAAATGGCATCTTTTCGGGGATGCAATATGCACTTGAAATGAAATAAAAGTGAAAATGTTGAGAAATTATTAAACGTGGCAGATCCTAATGACACTTAATCCAAGGCTGCAGATACTGATATGATTAGGATTTCGTATACAAATTTCTTAGCTCCTCCATCTGAGGATATTTTATTTCTTTGTGATTTTACGAACAATCTTTTCCTTGTTTTGAAGTCGATTTTCTGTGAATAAAAAATACATATGTAAGTTTAACCTATTTCAGATTATTACTGTATCCATAGATAAATTTTCGTGAAGTTTTTCAGGAGTAACAACGTTTAAAATACCCCGTTCAAACTTGAATCTAAGTTCTTGTTTCCGAAGCCTCTTATTAACAAGGTCTCTAAGGTGTAAATAATGATCTAAGGATTATAAGCGATTTCTCTATAACCATAATTTTTTTTTGTGGTTTGATAAAAGATAATAATGCAATACTATTGTCTTTTTCTCTTTGCGCCACACGAAAAAAAAAGAAACTTACATTGAGAGACCCTATGCGGCAACTTATAGTTTTGCGACCAACCATAGTACGTCATAAAGGATCTTATTCACTTCTTATCTAAAGTTTTCAAACACAAATATTGGATAGTTGTACATGGCTATTGGGTTACTTTGTTTGAGACTTTTTTTTTAGCTATAGGGATAAAATAGCGCTTATTCGACTAGTTAATCCTTTTTGCTATTACTTCATTCATTTTTTAACACGTAAAATAGGTTCCAACACGGTGTAGGGAAAATTAAAAAAGTCAAATCTTTCAAATGAATAAAAGCTTTCTGAATAAAATACAGTGGCATAGACCAGAGTCTAGGTTAGGATAGCAAAGATTTTGGCTATGTTGGTGCTGTCTCTTCGTTGTTCATAGTTCATTTCAAATACTATTCCGAGGAATCAAAGGCTCTTTGTTTCCACAGAATACAATGCTTTTGAAATCCAATATACTGTTTGGTTTATTATTTTTTTCGTTTATTTTATTTTACTTATGTGCTTTAGATATTATTAGGCTTCTTTAAATTAGAAACAATATCGAACAGAAAGGTTATCTTTATATTTCTGATTTTTCCATATATCTAAGAAGTGATTTTTAACTCTTCTTCGACATTTGTTTACCTTTCCACACGCTTCTTTCGTTGTAAAGTCTGTTTCTCGTTGCTAACTCGGCTATTTTCATTCAATGTGAAAAACTGATCTCTCGATTCCTTCCAATTCAGCACCTCCTCTTACTTTATTGCAGTCTTTTGGGTGTACTTACTAGGTATCATTTCACACAAACTCTTCTTTCTGAGCGTCGTTTTCGAACACAACATCTTCAATTTTTATTGGTCAAGGGATTACCACAGTGAATGTATGGATTTTCATTTCTTGCGTAAACAGTTTCACACTCCGGTGGCCTTCTGACATTCGAATAATCAAAGCGGAAAATTTTTGACCCTGTCCGATCTGTCGACGTCGTCGGAAAAAGTCAATGGGATGATATCCGGCTCTGAAAAGGGTAAACTGTCAATGTCTACGTGCCTTCACAGATATTGACGAGGCGCTGTCGATTGAAACTCGCTAGAGGGTGGTAAACTCGCCAAGGGGTGTCTTCATCGTGCCTTTTTTCATCTTCCGTCAGGACTACGCCGATTGGGTGATGATCGACAAAAGTAAATAATAAAAAGTCAGCGCAGCTGATCATGCAGGTGTAAATAAGCAGCCTCTAGAACTTACTTTAGGTAAGAAAAAGAAGGCGATGATCATAAACAATGAAAAGTGAGATTTTATCAGTCTTATAAATCAGAAGACCTGGCAAAAACGCTGTTGTTATTTTTTACACGAGAGGAGTAAAAGTCAAGGATAAACTTTTATTAGCGAGTGGTGGGCTTTATGTTGTGGAGTTGGAGATACCCTTGGGCGTACCAAAAGCTCCGTTTCCAACCTTGCATGCGATGCTCATCCTATAGAGGATCAGTCCCATCTAAATGCCTTTTTTACATGGGGTTATTTATTTTCTGGTGAAATGGGCATTATTTTTAAAATGATATTAGTAGAGCAGGTAAAGAAAATGAGAGAGTGCTTGCTTTCGGAACCACTGCAACGTCAGCATCCAACAATGTAGCAGTAGGTTGCACATGAGGGTATTTTTATTGACAACGATCTTGCGTACATGAAGCGGCTCCTCAAACAAACTCTCAAACTCATTAGTAAAATGGCCTCTCAAATGGGTTATGAAGAGCGCTATCGCCATTATCAGGAAACAATAAAAATAGCGCTGAAAAAAGGTTTCAAGGAGCTCACGCGTCCACATGGCGTTAGAGAAACTCCAACAGAAGCGTTTTTATGTTGACAATGTTTCCAAGTTGCATGTTGCTTACCACGTTGGAGTTCAAAAAAAAAGATCGATGCATACATGATGAAAATAGCACTTTACTGAACTATGAAAATAATATCTCCATGAAATAACATACTTCTGCGTGTGTGGTTGAAAGAGAATTAGGAAAGTGGTGACGTAGCCGCACAATTGGAAGGCTTAGTTATAGACATGCATCCTGTAGACAACTAAAAAAGCATCATTCTATGAATTATTTCACGTTTATATTTTTTTTATTGCCCTTTTACTGTCATTGGGATTATTATCCTGTTTAAATCACTGCTTCCAAGTTACAGCTTCCGGTGTCGTTTGATCTCTCTTCCCTGTATGTTATTGATTTTTTGTATGCCCTTCACTATTCCTCACCCTAAAACGTCGATTTTTTTTTTAAGCTATATTCCGAAACCTGAAAATCGGTCTTTTGTAAACATACACACAAACACACACACACATATATATATATATATATATAACGTCTAAAAAGGAAAAGGGCTTTCCAGACTCACCTCTCTCCTTCCCTTCTTTTTGATGTCTACAACGTTAATAAAAGATCCTCCGCTTTCCACCTCTTCCATGGCGGGGTCTTTGCCTTTGGAAGAGGTGGAAGTGCTGCCGCTCGGTAGCGGGGGCGAGGTGGGCCGCTCCTGTGTTATTCTACGCTATAAAGCCCGGTGTGTGATGCTCGACTGCGGGAATCACCCCGCGAAGAGCGGGCTGGACTCCCTTCCCTTTTTCGACAGTATCGCCTGCGAGACGGTGGATTTGGTGCTGATTACGCATTTCCACCTCGACCACTGCGGGGCGCTGCCGTATTTTTGCAATCAAACCACCTTCAAAGGGCGCATTTTCATGACGAGCGCGACCAAGGCGTTTTATAAAATGGTGATGAACGACTTTTTGCGGGTCGGCGCCGGGGCCAACGACATCGTCACGGGGGAATGGCTGCAGAACACGATTGACCGAATCGAGACGGTGGAATACCACGAGGAGGTGACTGTCGGGGGGATTCGTTTTCAGCCTTTTAACGCCGGGCACGTCCTCGGGGCGGCGACTTTTATGGTCGACATCGCGGGAATGCGAGCGCTCTACACCGGGGACTTCTCGCGTGTCCCGGATCGCCACCTGCTCGGGGCCGAGGTCCCGCCGTATTCGCCCGATATTCTTATCTCCGAGAGCACGAACGGGATTCGCGAGTTGGAATCTCGGGAGGAGCGGGAGCATGTTTTTACGAAAAGCGTTCACGAGGTCGTCAAACGTGGGGGACGTTGTTTGGTCCCTGTTTTCGCCCTCGGCCGCGCGCAGGAGCTGCTGTTAATCCTGGAGGAATATTGGGAGGCGCATAAAGAATTACAGGACATCCCGATCTACTACGCTTCCTCGCTTGCGCAGCGGTGTATGAAGCTCTACCTCACCTTTGTGAGCGCGATGAACGACCGGGTGAAGGAGCAGCACGCGAGCAATCGGAACCCTTTCGCGTTTAAGTTTATTCGCCCGCTGGTGGAGACGAAGTCGTTTGAGGATTGCGGGCCCTGCGTGGTGTTGGCCTCGCCTGGGATGCTCCAGTCGGGGATCTCCCTGGAGCTTTTTGAGCGGTGGTGTGGGGATCGCCGGAATGGGGTCATCATCGCGGGGTATTGCGTGGACGGTACCATCGCGAAGGAGGTCCTGGCGAAGCCGCGGGAGATCACCAAGCCGAATGGAAAGGTCCTGCCGCTCGCGATGGGCACGATCGAGGCCGTTTCCTTCTCCGCCCACTCCGACGGCCGCCAAACGCGGGATTTTATCCGCCTGCTGCCCAAAGTCCAGCACACCATTCTCGTCCACGGCAGCAGCGGCGCAATGCGGCAGCTGAAAAATAAACTCACGCAGGATTTCGCCGATCGGAATATGAAGGTCTACACCACCGCCAACCAGGAGGCGATTCGCATCCCGTTCGTGATGGAGCGCAGCGCGAAGGTCATGGGGAAGCTCGCGAATACCGCGGTGCGGCCTGGCGATTTCGTCAGCGGGGTGATGTTGGTTTCCGGCCAGCACTCGCGCAGCATCGTCCACCCGGACGACATCCCGGTCTTTACCGATCTCAGCGTCAGCCGCATTCAACAGGCGATGGTGCTGCCTTTGCCACGGTATCGCAGCCCGCTGGAGGTACTCGAGCGGCTTCAGCGCTATTTTGCGGAGAGCTATATGTTCGAGGAGGTCGAGCCCCAGCTCCAGCCCGCCGCGGGGGAGAACGGGGGGGGGCCGATGGCCATCCAGGCCGCCGATCGCACGCGATCTCGCGAAGAGGAGAAGCCGCGGCGCCTCTCCAGCGCGTCAAAGGTAGTTAAAATTTACGTCTCGCGGGAGGTGGTGGTTGAGGTGGAGCGCGATGCACAGGCCCGGACGGTGCTCACCATTTCCTGGATTACCAGCCACTGCAATGATCTCCTGGCGGACGTCACCTGCACCGCCCTCACGAAACTCTCCGAGAATGCGAACGACGAGGAGGATGACAACGACGCAAACGGCGTGCTTTTGCCGGTGGATGTTTGTGGGCAGGACAAGATTTTTCGCGTGAAGTGCTTTCATCACATGATCTCGCAGTTTTACCCCAACGTCACCACTAATTTGGTGACCGGGGCATGTCGTGTGGAGCTGGAGGATGGGCAGGTGGTACAGATTACAGATTGTATTGAAATGGAGGTGCAGGCGGGGAATAAAAAGCAGGTTGATTACGACTCTATCGAAGTGGCGAAGCTCAAAACGGTACTCAAGCGGATTTATCTCACCCTTTTCCCAATCCCCGCGGACAGTGGGTGGTGTGATTGCGGGATGATCCACGGAGCGGAACCGATTAATGAATAGCATAGGAAGGAAGGGAAGGGGTGTGACCAGAACTATGGCGGCGCTTCAGATTTAATAAATTTGAGGTCATTGAATGTTTATGAAAATAACATAAAAAACATCTCTACTTTTACTATTATTATTACCATCCCTGCTATTTGCAACTCTATTGACTTATGTTTAATCGGGTTTAAAGTAAATAAAGGCAGTATCCTGACATATATCTAATTATTTAAAGTAAGCATGTCATCGAACTAACAAGTGGGAATCAAGGAGAGCGCGCAGGCTCATTGAAAAGAGAGTGTATATCGCTTTTTAATGATAGGGAAAAAGTAGAAGGATTTTCCTTTTTCTTCATAATTATAATAAGGCGGCGCTTCATCAAAGCGGTATCGGTACTTTTTCCGTCTGCGGTGCTCTCCTTTCCCAAAGTAAGTTAGCAAACCAACTTCCTTCACAACTTAATTTTTTTGGCTACATCGTTCCCCCCTCCGCCTTGCATACTTAGGAAGGTGGAAGAATGTGTATTTGTGAAGCAGGTGAAGGGATTATAGTTGATATTGCACCAATTGCACTGAGAAGAAAGGGGCATATTATCACACCATATAATGTGCAAATGCATTGAATTCAAAGCACACCAAAGGGGTTGTGTGGATGTTTCCTAACCTTAGGTCGTCTAATTGCAAAGTATCGAAAAGGCATTGCGTCCTAACAAAGGGAAACCAAAGTACCATTAACCTCTTCTGCTCCAATCATTTTTGATTTCTTTCTCTTAATCATGCTTAAACACTTCATACCGATTTCCCGTCATAACCCTGAATACTTTGATTTTAGTTGTCTAGCTTTTCCAGCTGTGCTTGCTGTGAGTTTAACTCCTTTCTTAAAAACGTGATTATAGAGCCCTTCTTCCCTATTCCTAAATGTAAATCATTGATTACTATTAAAAAGAAGGAGGAAAAAGGAATAAATAACCGTTTTGTGCGTGTGTCTGTGTGCGTGTGTTTTGGTAATAAGTGCTGTCGATTTCGATGCACACGATACACCCATCCTTCTCTTATTCGTGTGGTCACACACTTCCATCGATGGATAGGTGGGTCGATCGAGCTTGCTACACCTTTTCTCTGACCTCCCCATCTTCACAACGACTGCCCTAGACTAAATGATCAAGAAGGAAGACGATTCAAAACATGACCTCAAGCCGCCACCCCCTAAGGAGGACACCAGCAGCGAGGAGGACGCGCGGAGTGAGTCTGAGGTGAACTGGTGGGAGCAGGAGGACATGCAGCTCGTGGGCAAAGGCGAGAAGCGCTGGGACACCCTCGAGCACAACGGCGTGCTCTTCCCCCCGCCCTACGTCCCGCACGGGATCCCGATCCTCTACGACGGCACCGAGGTCACCCTTCTCCCGGAGGAGGAGGAGGTCGCGACGATGTTCGCGGCCCTGAAGGAGCACGACTACTACCGCAACGAGGTCTTCCGC